TTCATCAAAACACAATTTTATCTTTTGCAGTAGGTAAAAGCCCCATGTTTTGGACACAATCTTAACTGCATAAACTTGTGTGTTTTCTCCACACATCTCTCATCACTGCAAAGTGATTCATAACTTGGGGAACTCAGTCATGGAAATTCACTAGATGAGACTCCTAAGTTTAATTTGGAAGTTCAATCACAATGGGAAGAACTCTCTTTGGGGAACTGCTTTCTCCATTCAAAAGCAGAAGACTAATTATAAGAAAACACCTTGGCAGATTGAACTCAGGTATTAGCATATTGGGTTAATTAGCATTTCCACCCTGGGGAAGCTCAAAGAAGCTTCAGCTGACCTTGGTGAACTAGGCTAAACAAACCTTACAGACACTTTAATCCTAAAAAGATTAATTCCAAACTTGCTCAGAGCACATCATACAGTAATTTAGTGATCCTCAACTCTGGCCTCTCATTAGAACTATAGTACATACTTGTTGAGTTGTATATACTTTTGTTTTGAAGACTCATATCCTGGGTCTTTATCTGGGAGTTCTAAAGATGGACTATTTGGGGTGAGTCCCATGTACCTCTATTTTTAGAAAGCTTCACATGTAGTCATGATGCTAACCAGATTTAGAATCAGAGAACTAAGCTAGAATGAAGAAGTCTGGTTCTAATCCATGTCTGCCATAACTTTGTAGCCCTTTTTAACCTTCACCAATCCCCAAAAGTGTATTGGAGGTTTGGTTTCTGGCTGATAAAAGAGGGTTAACTGTGACCATAACTGTCTTGCACAATCTTGTGTGAGAGGAAAAAATCTGACACTTCAGATTTTATGAAAATGCTCCTAAAGGGCACGAGCCACAGGTGCACAAGGGAGAGAACAAGTCAGCATCTCCAGAGAATCAGCCATGCTGGAACTTGGGGGACCGACCGAGGAAGCAACAAGCCCCTTTTCCTGGTAAGTGGCACCAGCGATGGGTGCGCCAGGGAAAAAAACAAGTCAGCATCTCCCGTGAACCTACCAGCTTGCAGGCTGAGAATCAAACGTCCAGTGTTCCACCCCCCTTCCCCCTTAGCAACTGGATGGTTTCGAGGCCAACCAGAGTTGATGGCATCTAAGGTACATAAAGCAATTAAATGCTTGTGTTGTTGGGTTGACTTTGCTGACCTGGGTCCAGAGGTCTGAGTATCTCTTGGGAGGATGACCATATGCAATATTGCAAATATGGGAATTTCCTTCTATCTTCTCTTTGAAGGCAAATATTGTTTTCACTGTTTTGTGTTGTTCTAATTAATTGTTTTTGCTCTATTCAATATTCTCTTTTGATTGGTTTTATAGTGTTCTATTTTTGGTTTGATTTTGCTATAACTGATTGAATGGACAACTACTGTGAAGATAGTAAGATATACTATGGTACCAGATAGAATTCTGGCATAGCTAAAAAGATAAGAAATATGAAATATAAATGACCTTTATTTTAAGAATGTGGGGAGAGACCCCCTGACCCTTCAGTGTCTGGCATTGTCTCCGGGGGCTGGCATTTTCTTCAGTGGACACGTGGAGTGGGGGCACACATGTAGCTTAGGTTTGGGGTGGTGCCTAAGGGGCATTAGTGATGCACAGGTAGCCCACTGCTATTCATTTTGCACCACAGGTAAATTCGTAGGGGTGAGGAAGATAGAACCCCTTGGTTCCGCCTCCAAGCCTCCTCTCAGCTACAGTGTCAGGCCTAGGGCAAGATTCTTTCAATCCTGTCTTTTGACACTAACTCTCAACAGTATTTCCTAAAGACTCCCACATCATGCATACCAGAGACAAGTCTTGCCTACCTACCCTCTTAACTTTTACCCTTTCAGATGGGGGAGTAATCACCTCTCATAACCCCACACTTATTTTTCAAAATTCTACCTTACCATGGCAATGATTCTACTTCAACATGGTCCTGATAAAATGACATATCTAAATCAAAGGCACCTTTCCTTATATCTCACCTAGGTCCTTAAATATGATAGTGCCATGCCTCCTCATAATACTTTGTCTTTTTGTTTTTCCAGCCTAACATACAGGCATTCAGCAATGATAAAGTTGTCTTGGTTAAAACACCTGCCACCAGCTTCTACATGGGCATCAACCGTCATCCTGTTGACACTCCTAAACCCAATACAGCACCCCCTTCCAGCAGGAAACAATAAAAGAAAGAAAATTTTTGCCCTTTTTCCTAATAATCAAAAGATGGGAATGAAAGAATCTTGACCTAGGCCTGACACTGTAGCTGGGAGGAGGCTGGGAGGCAGAAACAAGGGGCTCTATCTTCCCCACCCCTAGGAATTTACCTGTGGTGCAAAATGAGTATCAATGGGCTACCTGTGTATCAGTAATGCCCCTTAGGTACCACCCCAAACCTAAGCTACATGTGTGCCCCCACTCCACGTGTCTGCCGAAGAGAATGCCAGCCCCCAGAGACAATGCCAGACCCTGGAGGGTCAGGGGGTCTCTCCCCACATTCTTAAAATAAAGGTCATTTAATATTTCATATTTTCAGCTGTGCCAAAATTCTATCAGTACCTATTACTGTTATCCTGGTATCCTGTTTTGAAGTTCTATACCAAATTTCACTGCATTGTCTTGATTGGCTTTGTTCTGTCTCATTTTGTTGTGTTTTACTATCTTTAAAAGAAAAAATTAAAAAATAAAAGTGCTGGTAAATATATGAACAGTGAATTATTGTTACTATCAAGTCCAATGGGTACCTTTTCTTATGTTTATCAGTATGAGAATCAGTTGATCTCTACTTTCTTAAAATACTGTCTCTTCTCATAGCTTCGGAGACAAGCCCCTTCCTTTTTCTTGTTCCATGTTCTAGTTTCCCCTTCTCTTCTGGAACTAAAAGTTGGACCAAGTAGGGCTCAGTTATGGTTCCTTGATTTTCTCTGTATATTCTCTCTCCCTTGACAACTTCACGCAGTTCATAAGATCCATACTTTGAAATTTGCACAGTATAGTCATGATTTCCAAATTGTGGGAACAAATTCCAACAAAGTCTAAAATCCACAGAGCTGGCAGTCAAGAAGAGAAGCCTGGGCAGGCTTGAACTTCATAAGCACGGGCTGCAGCCACAACATCCTCTCTTTCATCTCCCCTTTACTTCTTAAAGACTAATCAGCTGTGAGCCAATAACCAAGTACTCAGAGGACATCACATCTCCTTACCATATCCTGGCACTTGATACTGCAGAGTACTGAAATGGCCTCCTCAGAAACTCAGCGCAGAAGGATTTCTTATTCACCTCCTTCTAGTCCACACATGTTAGTAAGGTAGTTTTCTTAGCAAACAAGGCAGTGCCCAAAGAGAAAGCATTTCATTTCAGCCACCTTTTGTATAAAGATCAAGAAAAAAGAAGTAGAGGGGCAGTTAAAGACCTGCTTTGAAAATGTGAGATTCATAAAAGGACACATCAGCAAACAAACCCAGTCTGGGAAGCAGCGCCATGTGTGGATCCCCACTGGATTGGAATAGCCTGACCCCAGCCCCACTTAGTGCCCGGGCTGGCAAACAAGAAGCACCATCCCATAGCCCCTCCCCTAGCTATAAGCAACCAGCTTATCCAGAGAAACACAGGCTGTCATGATAGCTATGGAGGTGAAATGCAATTGGATGCTTGTGGTGCTTTGATGTTTCACTAACACTGCAGGTCTAGGGCCACTGGTCTGATCATGGGCTCAGAGGATAGCAGTGTGCAGTGTGGCATCTAGCGGGGAACTCCTTCTGAGGGTTATAGCCATTGTTGATTTCTTATGGTCTTGTTTTAGAAGTATATCATTTCCATTGTTTTGTTGGGTTGGGTTTTATTCTCTTGTTTTGTTTGACTGTGTTAAATCTGATGGCTGGAGCAGCTATTTCAAAGACAGCAAGATATACTATGGTAGCCATTTTGGATTTACTATTGGCCTGTTTTGAAGTCCTTTATTGCATTCATTGTCTTGTTTTTACTGTTTTTACTCTGTTCTGTTCTATTCTGTTTGATGTTTTGATTTTATGTCTGAAGTTATCTGCAGCTATTTTGAAGGCATTAAATGGCATTATGGTAACTATTACTAAGTTTGTAATGTATCTCTTATACTGGTTTGTTTTGATTAGTTTTATTCTCTTTAAAATAAATAAATAGAAAATGTGAGATTCCACCCTGACCATTTCTGGACACAATGCTACTTTTCCTTCCCTAACTTCACCCCTAGATCTGTGTGATTGGTCTACACTTTGGGTAGCAGCCAAACCAAAAGGCCTAAAGACTGGTACTTATTTAGTTCTCTCATGGAATTCAAACTTGTTAGGCCAACATAGTCTTGGTTCCTAAAGATGACGATCACGAGTACAATTGCCAAGTCCTTGGATAGATTTATGGCTGCCAAGGAAAAAGATACAATTGATCTCTAAATTTTATGAAAATACTCTTGGTCCCCTTATACTGGGTATCTCTGGGTATGTATAAGAAGTTTTTAGAAAAACCAATGAAGTTACAGGACAAATCAAGAATGGAATATCTTAGATCTTAAGTATCTGGAGGGAGAGAGAACAATGTGTATTCTCTCTATTTTCATTGCCAGAGAAAATAACCATGTGGCCTACCTGTGTCAAACAGCAGTCATGAGTGCAATCTGACCCATGCAGGGTTGTCACTCCTGCCTATGTGCTACAAAACTCATGTGGACACATCCAGTGCTGAACAATTCTCCTATGCCTGAGGTTGCCCTGAGCTCCTGAATGTGCATCCTCACCTCCACTTCTGTATAAACAAGGACCAGCATGACCCGGTTTCAGCCTCACTGATGGCAAACATACACTTCTGATCCCCACGGGCCCTTGCAGGCCAAGGCACAGATCTTAGCAAAAGGTCTGCCATGGAAGCTCTGGGCTTCCTTGTTCATTGTTAGCTGAGAATGTCAAGAATATAAGGCACTCTATGTTCTTCACACAGGCCATTTTTCAGGATTATGGCTCGCATGACTAACCTCGTAGGATGAAGTAATGTCTCCTTCCAAGCAAAAGAACAGGCTGTCCACGGTCTGTCAGAGAGCGGCGAGTTCACCTGACTCCTCATTCTTCCCCTGTAAGACATCCTGAAGTATGTATGGACATCCATCAGCGTCATCCTTGTCGCCTCGTGAGACTCAAGGGGCAAGAGAAAGTGACCAAAACGTGCTGACCCTGATGCATTATCGTGTGCCATGGATATTAAATCCTTCGTGGCATCTGTAAAACAGTAATGATGAAACTTACTAGCTCATAAACAGGGTATAATCAGACTCCAGTTCTAATATACTTAAGCAAATTCCCCAATTTGAAAACTCCATGTGTGTGTAATTTTTTAAATTAATTAAAATTTTTAAAGTTTTTAAAATTAAATTTAAAAATTGAAATTAAAATTGTGTGTGAAATTTAAAAAAAAACTATAGCTAGATAGGCAGGCAGACAGAAATTTACCTAGTGGTTCTTGCCCTCTGAGTGAACACTCTATTGAGGAACTTCTATTCAGAGTATAACAAGAATCCTTACAACTCTTATAAATGAGGTAAACAATTCAATTGAAGAAATAATTGACAAAATATTTTAGCAGACAACTTAAAGATATACAATTGGCAAACAAACACATGTATATTTGCTTAATATTGTCAGTCATTTAAGAAATGCAGATTAAAATCATAGTGAGATGCCATTCCATACCCACTAGATTGACGAGAACAGAAAAATTGAAAATACCAAGTTTGAAGAGAATCTGGAGAAACTGAAGCATACAAATTGTTGTTAGGGATGTAAAATGTTACAGCCAATTTAAGAAGAGTTTAGTAGCTTCCTTAAAAGTTAAGCATAACATATGCTGTCAAACTAGAAACAATCAAAACATTCTACATTGCATGAGAAGTTAAACAGATTATGTTACATTCATACTATAGAATGTCACTCAGCAATAAAAAGGGACAAAGTAAGCCAACCGTGGTGGTGCACACCTGTAATGTCAGCCATAAGGAGGCTGAGACAAGAAAATCACCTCAAGTTTGAGGCCAGGCTGAGCTTCATAATACCAGTCCAGCCTGAAATACCTACCAAGACCCTGTGTCAAAAAATGAAGCAAGAGGGGCTGGGGATCAGCAGCATAACAACCTGCCTTGCAAGCAGGTGGTCATGAGTTCAATCCACGGTACTGATTTAAAAAAAAAAAAAAGAAGCAAGGGCCCTGGGATTTAGCTCAATGGCATAAGCACCTGCGTGGCAAGCGTGAGGTCGTGAGTTTGATTCCTGGTACCAAAAAAAAAAAAGAAAGAAAAGAAAAAGAAATAAAAGGTCATGCATGTATAATATCATTTATATGGCATTCCATTAAAACTGACAAAATTTAGAAGAGATGGAGAGCAGTTTAATCATTGACAGGGGTTGAAACTAGGGTGGGAGATGGAAGAGGAAGAGGTCTGACTATAAAAGGTGCAGGCAAAGGAACTTCATAGTGATACAGTAAATAATTCTGTATCTTGTTTTGGGGAGGCTTTTTTGTTTTTTAGTGAGGGTTGGGTTTTGTTTGGTTTTTTTTTTTTTTTTTTTTTTTTTTTTGGTTGTTGTGGTGGTGATGGTGGTAGTAGGAATCAAATTCAGGGTCTCCAAAATGTTAGGCAAGTGCTCTACTACTTTTTTTCATCTTTTTCTTTTTTTTTAATCAGTACCAGGGATTGAACTCATGACCACACACTTGCAAGGCAAGGCACTTATGCCACTGAGCTAAATCCCCAGCCCCAAGTGCTCTACTATTGAGCTACATCCTAGCTATATTACTTGTTCTAGGTCTTAATGTTTGTTTGTTTGTTTGTTTGTGTTTTTTGTGGTGGTAGAAACAGAACTCAGGACCTTGTCCGTTGTAGACAAATGCTCTACTATCTACTATTGAGCTAAGTCCCAGCCCTAGTTCTATATCTTGATTGTGGTACTGGTGATAGGAATTGACTCATGTGCTAAAATTGCACAGAAATATATAAAGGGACACACAAATGAATGCATGCCGAACTGCTGAATTCTGAATAAGGCCTAGGAATTGGACCAGTATCAATTTCCTGGTGTTAACATTGTACTATATTATTTAGAATGTTACCACTGGGGGAACACTGGGTAAAAGGTACACAAGACTGCTTTGTGATGTCTTGCACTTTCTTGAGTAAATATTTCAATTTTTCCTCACCAAAATGGTAGCAGCAACTTCTATCGCTAGTAAGCATTATGAGCCTACAAAGTTCTTCTAAAACATGAAGTAGATTTCCAAGTAGCAGTAAATAAACTCTTTACTTATAAATGTTTCCATAATCATCATCATTAGGGGAGGGGGCCTTAAAGACACTAAAATAGCCTTTATAGATGCAGAAGAAACCCAGGGAGAGAAGAATGTATGAAAGTAATTCTAATACTAACTTCAGTTAGCCTCCTAACTTTGTTCTCAACAGACAAAACTATGAATGAATCTAAATCAGTTAAGAGCCTGTATTTGTCAGTTTTGTGTTGCTGCAACAAAATAAAGCCAAAGGAAGAAGTTTATCTGGCTCAGGAGTCTGGTAGCTGGAAAGCCCCAAACAGCAGAGAGCTTGCATTTGGTAAAGGCCCTGTGCATTACAACTTGACAGAGAACTAGAAAAGGAACTGGCTGCCTACAGCAGAGGTCAAGGGCATGGGTGGTCTTGTTTTATGACAACCAGCTCTCTCAAGCATCAATGCAATCCCACAAGACTTAAGCCACTTCCAGGAGCCACCAACAATTTATTCGTGAATGTAGAGCCCTTGTGACCTAATAACCCACTACAAGGCCCTGGAGCTTCAATACCATCACACTGGGAAATTAAGCCTCAGCAGAGTTTTGATGGGGCAGGAAACCCTCAGTTTCACCTGCCACATCCTACTCAGTCCCTCCAACATTAAAAACTGATCCATTGTGAGGCAAATGAATCAGGTCCACAAAGCATTAAAAATCTGACCCATCATGAGGCAAATGAATCAGGTCCACAGAAAAATAAGTTACTTCATAGTTGGTTATTTTCACTGTCACTCTTCATCATGACTTTTAAAATAATATTTTATTATTTCAAAGTAATATATGTACCCTGAGAGTAGCATGTGAGTCAGGGAAGGACCTCCCTTGATTCGTGTGGGCACCATCCAATTGCCTTTGGACCCAGAGAGAACAAATGCGAGTAAGCTGGCCTCCTTTCCTGAGAGCCTGCACATCAGCAGTCCAGGCTTTCCGGGCCTTGTACTTCAGGACTTACACCACCCTTCCCTGGGTTCTCTGGCTTTTATCCTCAGATTGAATACCATAAGCCTCCCTGATCCTGAGGCCTTCAAACTTGGACTGAAAGGTACTATCAGCATTCCAGGTCTCTAGCCTGAAAACAACCTGTATTAGGACTTCTCAACCACCTTATCTCAGAAGCCAACTCTCCCCGCAAAATTCCCTCTCACATAGCCACAGACACAACCCATTTGTTCTGTCTTTTTGGAGGACACTGACTAATGTATAAAGCTTCCAATATATAACGCAGGTCCTTCCTTCACCACGTCTCGCACCCAATTTCTGTAATCACCTTCAAGCCTTTTTGCTATATTTTCTGATACTTTCTTCCATATTTCTAAACAACACAGCTACGCAGGAATGTGATTTTTTTTTAAGTTCAGATATAATCTCCTAACATCTCACTTCTGACCAAAAAGATTTAGATTTTTGTGCTGCTGTCGATTTCTAGGAAAGAATCCTGTGTGATTCACATCAGACACACACACGCACATGCACACTCATACATGCTCACATCCTCCTTTCCTGTCTTCCAATGAAGCTTTCCTAAGTAAATATTTAGTATTTATATAATAACGTTATAAATATATTACTTTCACCTAAGCCATTTCACTTTTAATATTCACTAGGTTAACACAAGACATGATCAAAAAGTAGAGTGAATGTTTAATTTTTTAAAAATTTATTACAGTAAAAGACATATCTCCGTTAACTCTCCTCACAATACTCCCTCCCCGCTCTTGCTTTGAATATGTTTATCCTATCATTCTTGCCACATCCTGAAGCATCTCTTTCCTGGTGCCTTTAGTTGCTGTACCATCACTGCCTCAATGTCCAGACTCAATTCAGAATTTTTATTTTTCATGGTCATTTTGACTCTGGGAAGAGCCAGAAGTCCCACTAGGCCATACCTGGTGAATAAGGTAGGTAAGGGCACACTAATATTTTCACATGCCTACTTTTCCATTAGATGGCAGCATTCACTGCATTTTTTTAATGTACTCACTGTATTTTTTATCAAGGCTTGTAAAGATACAAAGCCACAGTGCCCAGCCCCAGCCCCTTTTTATTTTCAGATGAGGTCTCATAAAATTTCCTCGGGTTTGCTATCTTCCTGGCTCAGTCTCTTGAATTACTAGGATTATAAGTATTCATCACCACTAATTTTTAGTTTAGCTAATGTATTTTTTGTTTTGTGATAAGGGTTAAACTCAGGACCTCACACATGCTAGTCTAACTGAATACATTCCGAGTTCTAGCTAATGCATCTTTGTTGTTGGGCTTTTCTTTTTTGTTTCATTTGTTTTGTCTGTTTTGGTGGATTTTTTTGGTTTATTTGCTTGTCTTTTGTTTGTTTTTTGAGATAGATTCTCACAGTGTAGTCCAGAGTGAGCTGGAACTTGCAGAATAGCACAGGCTAGCCTCAGACTCATGATCCTCCTGCCCAGCCTCCCAATTGCTAAAATTAGCTAAGATTAACAGTTTCTTGGTGCTGAATGTTCCTTTTTTAGAGCATCCTCTTATATTCATTGGTTCAAACATTTTCTATTCCCTGGAAGGTCTGCTTTCTTAAAGCTTCTATTTCTTCCTTCCTTTTCTCATATTAAATGCCTTACCTAAGGTCCCTTCAAGACCTTGCAGGAGCCCCATGTTTATGACAAAGACACTGTAAAAGCAGTTGGAAGCTAAGTAGTGTTACTACTAAGTTACTGTTCAATGATCAAGCTGGAAGGCAGCTGCTTACATTCTGCATTGCCCACAGCTGCAAATTTTCCCCTTGGACTCACTGGTTGCCTA